CACATCCTCTCTAGAGCACCGCGTCCCCATAACTCTGCCTTATTCTTGACCGTAACCCTAACCCTAACCCTAACCCCTAAACCTTAAACCCTAATCCTAACCCTAAACTCTAACTTTAAACCCTAAACCCTAATCCTTACCCTAACCCTAACCCTAAACCCTAACCCTAACCAGGGAACCTCTCAAGAGTGGCACTGTATTCGGGGAAAGAACTCAGCAGTGTCTGTGCACTTCCAGGCTCATGGGATAGACATGAAGGACCACCAGGGCAGGGTGTGACCTATTTCCATGTCCACTGGAAAACCGACGTCAGTTCCCCGGGCATTCATCCCAGACCAGCCAACCACTCTTGGTTGGCACTCACAATTGAACCACTACTTCCAGTTCTGACTTCTCACCCAACCCACAGAGGTTCCTTTAACTTTCCCTGGAGAGACACGGAAGGACTAAACAGGTTGTCTCTGGTTGCATTGCTCAGACAAATATTGAGCACACACCTGGTTTTGGTGTGGGGAGATGACCCTGAGCATGTACAAATGCCATCAACCCCCTGCAGGAGCCTTGAAGTTATGTGGGACAAAGAGTGTGCCAACAGAAGCCCCAGGATTTACTACCCCTGCTGCCATGAACTGTCTGTGTGTGTTTACAAGAGAAGAACTCCTGTGTCTGAAAACCCTTGCGTGACCGAGCAGTGAACCCCTGTCAGGGCACCACTGACTCCAACTGGCCATCCAACAGGACCCCAGAGACCATTTTGCAGCACTTTTACGCAGCATGTCATTCCCAGTCTGTCCATACATGTGGGGTTACCCCATCCCAAGGACAGAATCTGGCAGAAGCTCACCTTTTCCAAATGTATTAAAATCTGTTTTGTTTCTTTGCTCAGTGGAATGCACGGGCGGGAATAACCCCCTGTATTCCCCGGCCGTAATAAAGGTGTGCTTTACATATTGTTTAAGGATATCTTTGAATCAGTCTCTGTGTTTAAAAAGACAAAGGACCCTTTGGTCGTTTTTTTTTTTTTTCCTGAGATCCTTTATCCAAAACCTTTCTTTGAATTTCTGGGACAGTTCTGTGTGCAGGGATGGATAGGAAAGGACTCCTGGCATGGTAGGTCTTCCAGGAAGCGCCAGTACTTGGTCTTCCAGAGCTGCTCTCTTTAACTTCCACCCTCTGATCTGATCCACCTCTGATTGCTGCTGTAAAGCCTGGGTGCTCTGCCAGCTTGGTCACAGTTCTGCTGTGTGCCACTCCTGCAATGCAGGCAGGGACAGGTCATGGGCACTGCTGGGACAGAACCTAGCTCCAAAAGGAAAGGGCAGTGCCTGGCGGTTCAAATGTTCTTTCAAAGTTGCTGCCAAGAACAACCTCCAGGAAGTTTCATGCTGCATAAAGCACCACTGACGAACTGGAGTTTGTGACTGTACAGGATGGGGGCATACAACCCTGTCCCTTCCACAGTCAGGTCTCCATGAATACTCTTGAAGGACCAACAGTGACCAAAAAAGTCTGGTCTGTGACCCTATTTTCTGGGCCCCCTGCTCAAGGGGACCCAGTGCACTCATCACAGACCAGTCCCTTGCAATCACTGTTCCCAGCACTGGTCTATCTCTCCACCTTGTCCCCCATAGAGGAATATCAAATGAGCATATTTGCACTGTAAAGAAGAGAGTTAAGTATTCACACTGTGTGTGTGTAGAGAGGAATCAGAGTGAGCACAAACACCATCAGCTACTTCTAGAGAGGCCAGGAAAGACAGTGTCTTGAGATCACTTCATTTTGAGAGTCACATCACCTAGGAAACCACCTGAATGCAGCCCTGGGATGTGCTTTTGTGAACACAGCTCCCTGTGTCTGCCCCTCAGGCCGTGGGGCATCTCAGAGAGGGTCAGAGCAGGGTCTCTGACAGCTGAGCACAAGGCTGTGACCAACAGGGTGTCACAGGGACTGGGAGATCCCCTCTGCCTGAGGGCCTGGGCTCACTCCAGCAACGGGGCTTTGTTGGGACAGACTACGACATGTAATATTCAGCAAGAAAGTTTATTGGAAAGAATAAGGTAGCAGCAGTAACCACGAGCTGCAATTTACAGTTTCTTAAATACAGCACTTTGGGTCCACGTATATCACACAGATAGGGCAGCTTAAAAGCACAAACTACAATTCTCACAGATTTTAGCTGGACTTTCTCTGGACTTTCTCAGTCCTACGTTCTCAAAATATTTCTGTGCACCTGTCCCTGTTTTCCTTTGATGTTTATATTTTTCTCATTCACTCTGTTTAAAACAAGTCCTCGTTCTCATGAGACAGTGCTTCCCGTTCTCACGGGACAGTTCTCTCCTGTTGCTCCTCTGCTCTCTCAGGATGCATCAGTACTTTGTCAGGACCAGGGCCTCCATTTTCAACCAGTTTCTTGTTCCATACCAGGGGTCCCGGTCCAGTCGCAATTCCCCACCAGGTTTCTCTTTGGGTTACCCCGTCCCTCCTGTTGAGCGCAGGATGGGACAGCAGCTGGTACCCCTGTCTGTGCCAGCAGCTGAAAGGAGTAGCCTCGGGACAGCAAACGGAAGTTGCTGCTGTCAGGGCAGGGGAAAGGCCCCAGGAAGGTCGAGGGGTTGCCATGCTGATGGAAAGGCTGTGTCCCACCTGCTGGAGCTTTCCTAGGAGGAAGGAAACTGCCCGAAACAGAGACACTACCCCACACTGCACTTGGAAAGGTGGAGAGAGGAGACGAGGAGAAAGAAATGTCCCTGCATCACTGTGGGAGGAGAAGTATCCAGAAGGAGGAGGAGATCACTCCATGTGTGTATTTGAAGAAACAGAGTGTGAGGGTGGGCAGCAGTCAGGGTAGGGTTGGAAATGCCAGAGGTGAGAGCCTGAGGGGAAGTAGCATGGGTGTCTGCAACCTGCAGGGAAACACAAGCAGCTGTGGGACAGCACAGGACAAATTGTGCTGAAGATGGCCAAGGGAACTGGCAAGGCATGTTAACTACTTCTTTTAGGACCAGAGTTTGAACTTGCTTGATATATGTCAGAAGATTGATTTAAAATATATTTTTGCAACCAGACCTTATCACCACCAATGACAAACCTTATTAATCTGTCACAATTTGTAATAATAAAGAGTGTTATTTCCTGAATTGTTGGCGTGAGTTCTTTCAGTTGCCAGCAGCGGGAAACACTTCAGCAGGGTCTACTGAGGGGTCTTTCTATTGTTGGCTGAGATCCCCCTTACGAGGACACTCAAATCACCCTCTGATCTTGTGAATCTTTACGTGAAGATACCACGGACTGGTCGGACACAAGGGTCTCGGCTTTCCGGGTGACTCTGACAGTCAAAAATCTAAACTCCCTCCTTTCGACTGGTAATAAGCTGCTGCAGCGAAGTAGGGTTGTCAAGGATAATCTACTGCAAAATTACAAATCTCTACCTTCCGAGGTTGGGAAAGACTTGGTTCAAAGGCTTCAGAAAGTTAAGGAGAAAATTGTGGTATGGATGGAACAATGCCAGACTAAGTAGAAATGTAAGCAAGGAAATGGTAAAGGTACAATTCGTGTAGTGTTATAAACCTGTTTGTCTTGTGCACAATAAGAAGTTAAAAATTCACCTGCTTCTGAATGGATTTCTGATGTTGAGTCTACTGTTTTGAAATCAGAAAATGTGCTGTTGAAGTCATCCTTAGCCTTTGAGAGGGAAACAGGAGAAAAATCGGATAAATTTGTTGCTATAAATGAGGTGTTTCAAACTGAGGTTGTCCACCTTCAAAGTCTTGTTGCATCAAAGGGCAGAGAAAAAACTGTTGCCAAAAAGACAGGTTCCTGGTTTGGTCAGGCAACTTCATAAACCAGTGTCTTACCCTGGCATTGAGACTTGGGAAACCACAGAGAACCCTGATTCTAAGTCTGAGGGGGGACAGAAATCAGGAGAATTTTGAAGTTCAACTGATGTTTCCACAGTCTCCCAGCTTTCCTCACATTAGGATAATGAGGACGCAGCTTCTGCTATGGGGAATTCTAAGCATTCTGGAGTCGGTGAGACAAGCTGGTAAGTAACACTTGAGTGAATGGGAGTTGTCTTGGGGGTTTGTTTCCTTTCTCTTTTCTCTCTCTCGGATTCTCATTTTGTTTGCTACTTTCTTTGGAATAAATGTTGTTTTGTTCAGCTTTCAACTGTACACTGGTTTCAGTTTTGGCAATCTCCCTGCTACATGCAGACATAACAAACAAATGACAACATCAGCAGATGCCTTTCCATTCCTCTTTTCCTTCCCATTCCCTATGCCTCTTCCCTTGCCATTCTCACAACCAACACACTATTTTACTTCTCACTTTAACAAAGTTCTTTTCTCCTTCAAGACCCTCAAAGACGCCAAGGCCACATAGGAGGCCACACACAAACAGTACTCCTCTTCCCACTTGATAACACCTTCCCCCTCACTGTTCTACAGGGAACACCATGAATCCGCTTGCAGAGGCCTCTCGTTTCCCATCAACAGTTCAGCACAAGGAGCTAAAGGAGCTCAAGCCTTAGACCACAAGAGTTGACAGCAAGGAAACTTTGGGAGCAAACTAATGCTGCTAACACGGACCCAGCTGAATCCAGCACACGATCACAGAATCCAAGAGTCCTTCAGCTTGGAAAAGACCTCCCAGCTCATTGAGTCTTGTGCAGCCCCTCCCTGACCGCCTGCAGGGACTGGATGATGCTTTGCACAAACACCAAAAGGAATACTGTGAAAACCATGGTGTGCAGGAGGACACAGAAAAGGGCTTGACTGGGGTTGGGAAGGAGGGAGCTGGTGCTGGGGGAGAGGGGACGGGAGCCTCGGGGATGTGGTGCAGCAAGGACAGGGGCCCAGGCAGCTGGCAGGCCGCAAGGCCTCACCCCCTGCCCCAGCAGCAGCAGCGGGCCCTGCCCAAGGTGCTCCTACCAGGGGCTGGGCCCTGCAGGCAGGGGCAGAACCCACTCCCTGGGGCGGTCTTGCTGCCCTGGCCCTCCTGTGGCCCAGCCTCTCCCTGTGTGCGCCCTCCCCACAGCACAGGCTGCACTGGGCAGCATCCCCTGATGGGCCCTGCAGAGCTGCCCCACGGGGACACTTCCCTTTTATATCACAGGCACCACAACCTGTCCCAACCAACCCTGCCCATTGTCCCCACCCCGACTCAGTGACTCACAGTGGCCCCTGGCAACTAAAGAAACAAAACCCCACACCTCCACAGTGCAGCCCCACCCATCTGCAATGGGCCCCTAAGGGTTCCCTGCACAGAGTAGCCTCTGCAAACCCTTGTCAGATAGAAAACTGGGGGACATGACCCTTGGATGCTTTTAGTACAGAGATACAAGTTTTTCTTGAATAATGGAGGTGGTCAGTTTATTATTATTCATATTTACAGTTCTTCATTTGAGTACAGGATGTCCTACAGGCTAATGTGGTGTCACATTTGGAGTGAAAAGTAGTTTTCATCCCGGTCTCTCCCCTCCTCTCCTAGTGCCCTCGGCCATCGAGCTCCCAGCACGGCCCCGGCCCCTACTCCGGCCTGGATTTCTCTCCAGCAGGGGCAGCTGAGGTGGTCCAGGGCGGGTGGGAGCTTTCAGGGCAGGGGGTGACTCCCGACCTGGTGTTGGAACCGCCCCCTGACAGGGTGGGCCCGTCATCCTGGGGCACCTCCTCACCCGAGCCTGGGGGACGGGCCGGCAACTGGGAGGGGGTTTGGGAAGGAATGGGGAGGCTGAGAAGGGGATCGTGAGAAGTGGGAAGGGGTTTGGGGGAGCTTGGGGGCTTGGGGCCTGTGGGTCCTGTGGGACTGGCATGTGAGGGGTTTTGGGGAATCGTCGGGGGTCTGGGAAGGGACTGGGAGAGAGTTTGGGGGTGTCCTCGAGCGGAAGGGGCAACTAGGAGAGGGTTTGAGGGGTCCTGGAATGGCAGGAGGTGACTGGGAGGGGTTTGGGGGCATCTTGTGGGCTTTTGTGGGTCTGACAGGCAGTTTGGGGGCCTTTGGAAGGTTTCAGGGGAAGTTGGGAGTGTCCTGTGGGACCGGGATGGGATTTGAGGGTTCCTGGAGGGGCTGGAAGGGCTTCATGCCTTTATACTGCAGGCATTGTCTAGTATTGATGGGGGTAATCAGTGAGCTGACTGTTTCAGAATCATCCAAATTTTAACAAGACTTTGAAGGTGGTCAACCTCAGTTTGAAGCAGCTCATTTTCAGCAAGAAGTGTATCCGATTTTTCTCCTGTTTCGCTCTCAAAGGCTAACGATGACTTCAACACCACATTTTCTGATTTTAAAACAGTAGACTCAACATCAGAAATCCATTCATGACTTCCCTGTCAGCACTTCATCCGAATGTCTGTGCAGTCCCTTTGACCTGAGAGAAACCTGCCTGTTTGCAGGGCATTGACTGGGTAACTTTTCTTTTTGCAGGTGGAAAAGGGCAGATCAAGAAAAAACAGATGGGTCCAGCAGAAGTGATGGTGCTTCTGTCAAAAGCAGAGCAGAGGTCACTTTAGGAAATTGCTTGCAGAAGCACTGTGCATTCCAAGTTACAGCTCAGGAGTCTCAGTGATTTGTCCAACATGAGAGCTCCTTTTCCCTTTCTCAACCCCCAGATTCCTCAGGAGTAGGAAACTGAAAACACTGACTCAGGAAAGCTCCTTTCCTTCCTAATAATTGTGCTTTGTCCTTCCCATTTGACAGTGCTCTTGGAAGTGTGCTGGTGTGATCTTGATCTGGGAGCAACCCTGACCTCCCACAGCACTCATCCAACTGCCTGGCTCCTGCTGGTGTTCTCACCACCCACCGACAGCTTCTCCCTGCGGAGGTGTGGGCAACTACCCAGGTAGGATGAGACCTGACCCCAGCAGGCAACAGAGTCCCTGCCCTCACACGAAGAACCCTGGAGCACAGGGACCCTGCTCTGTAGGACAACCACGGGCCAGGGGTGCACTCCCAACTTCTCACCCCTCAACCACCCCTGGGAGAACGAGACCACTTGCGTTGTCCCTCTGACGGTGCTGCAGGGAAGGTCTACCCTGGAGAACATCCTCCTCCTGTGCAACAGAGAAACTGGGAGAGTCCTGACAGGTGCACAGGGCTGTGGGATATGATAGCTTTAGGAGATTCCTCCCGGAACACAAGCGACCTTGCCCTGCACCTGTAGACTCAGTCTGCAGAGGAGTGTGAAGTTGTGTCCCCAAGGGAAGTCTCAGATGAACACCTCCCATCTTTCCGCTGCCTATAACCTCCGTCTGCCTTGCTTCTCTTCTCTCGTGGCTCCAGGCAGTGCCCTCGTCCCTGCTGGGCTGTGCAGAGGAGCTGCTCCTGGGCAGAGTTGTCTCTCTGCAGTGCTACCCGTTTGCCAGGAGCTCCCTGTGTGCCAGGAACCCGGCCCAGCTGAGCAGCACAGCAAGAGCCAAAGGTAACCCTTTCTCTGCCCCTCTGGGTTTCCGGCAGATGTCCCTGGGGCTCCAGGGGAACCTGCTGTGGAACAGGCTGAAGGAAACAATGATGTTCCCTCTTCTCCCCTCTTCAGTGACACTTCTTTCCAGCAGTGATATTTCTCCCCTTAGAAAATTCACAGGGAAAGATGATCACCTTTTCTAGTTTCATCATTACACAGGACACCAGGAGGGTGACAGCAAAGGATCTGATAACTCCCTGGCACGGTGGGGGTTTTCCTGCAATCACACCCAGAAATGTGTCAGGGCTCTGTGAGGTGTCCACCCCTGAGCTGGACAGATGCACTGCTCACACACACTGGGGTGTTCAGAGACACGAGTCCTTCCCTCGCACACACACAGGCAGTTCATCGTAGTAGGGGCAGTGTCTCCCTGAGCTCCTGCTGCCACTGCCAGAGCCTGGAGCCATCTCTACCCTGTAGCGCTTCCACCCTGCCCACTCCTACACTTCAGATAAACATTGGGGTTTCCTACTCACTGCAAATGCCCAGTCCAACCCCTCCACCGGTTCCCCATCTCCCTGCCCTGCCCCAACCCAACAGAGCAGCACAGTCGTTTCTGGTCCTGCAGCAAGAAAGGAAAGAAATAGAGCACAGGGACAGTGACTGGACTGCTCAGGAGATCATCAGCTCAGGCGGTAGCTCCTGCAGCCCCAGGACCAGAGCCTCTTCCCAGTGGCCCAGGCAGCTGGTGCCACGTGGGCACAAGCTCTGCTGCCCAGGAGGGTCCTGTAGTGCAGTGCTTTGCACATGGCCACGTAGAGGTCGTAGGACATGACGGTGAGAAGGGCAACCTCCACTGGGATCAACAAGAATAGCAAAAAACACCTGTGCAACTCATCCTGAAAAGTGAAGATTGGAGCTGTGCTGTAAAGCCTTATGTAATTGTTTCTAACTTGTGTAGTTTGTAACCTGTATTTGTCAATCTGCTGTGCTTCACAACTGTAACAAGCTATTTTGATGTGTTCAGAGTCGTGTTTCTGAAAGCAGTTGATGTGCAGCTTAAAAAATTCAAAGTCTTCGTAATTGTCAGTAATAGCTACTTCTCTGTGTCCTTTTCGTCTTTAGTGTCTCTTGCTCGTTTGAAGCATGCGTGTACCTTGGTTCAAAATCTAGGTCGCTACTTACTGCATACATTTGAGTATCTTTTGTTTATCTAAGTTTTGCTTGTCACTTACACCCTGTGTACCTTCCCATGTGCAGGTGGAAGAGTACCAAAATTATTTACGCTGTCCTCTTTACTAAAATCAAACAACAAACAAAATAAACCCTCTATTCTTCTTTGTAAACCTAGTAGTTCCTGTGTTGGTGTTAATGTAAGTTATGTTACTTTTATTGGTCATTCCTTTCACCATGATACTTCTCAACACACCTCTGGTAGTTAATTATGTGAGTATTGATAATTTGTTTAGGAACTCCTGACAATAGTAAATAATATTATGCCTGAATGCTGCTTACCTGTTGAAATGTGGTCAGTTCTTAGCTGAGGGTCAGACTTCTCCAAGCTCTACGTGCTTGATTGGAGGGGGTGTGGTTTTGAGAATTAATAGTAGAGTTCAGGCTAGATTATTAGTAGAGATATTTTATAAGGCTGAAGAGTGTCTGTTATGATGCAGATTTTTTTAAAATGCACACTCTGAAGCTCTTTTTAATGTGTTCATATTCAAGGAGCGAAAAAAGAAGCACTTAAATTTCAGATAAGTTTAGAATTCTTGGGGGTGTGTGGCTGTGTTGGTTGTCTGGAGCACATATTCTCTAGCATTGATTTTAATGTTTAAATTGTTTCTTAGGATGAAATAAAGTAGGCTGAGGTGATTTTTAAAATAGCAAATGTAAAGGTGCCAAGTGAAGCTTACTTTAGCAGAAACTTGGGAAATTTATTCAATCTGTCTCTCTAGAAAAGAAATGTAGTTCTTAGACAGCTTTCTCATATTAACCTTACTGGCTTGCAAAAGAAATCTGCACCAGAAAATATCTGTTTCATGTTAAGAATATTGGACAGGTCGGTTGCTTTTAAAATCAAAATTGGTTTAAAATTACATCTCTGTGTGTTTAATTCTTCTTCCACTTTATGTAATCCATAGGTTGTCAAACACCAGCAGAGGAAAGATGAAAAACTTATAAAAGTCTGTTGTAGAAAAGAGTTGTCAGATGTTGGCTATAATTAATGATTAATACCAGGATGTCTCTCTTAATATTAGAAACAAGAGAGAAAAATAAATTACTTATTGTCGTGAACACAAGAAAAAGTGATAGGATGCTGTCTGCAAGACCTTTTCTTCTACAGCATGTCAGTATGGTGAACTTGGTGTACTTAGTAGCATACACATTGTATTCCATCATCTCCTGAAAGCAGCACAATGTTCACAAGTCATCAATGATAAATTTTTTGTTGTTTGTTTGAACTTCACTGAAGACAAGAGGAAATTTCTGATCTGGTGGTGTTTCCCCACATACTCATGTAGAACAGTTCATCTAATGGGGAGCTTTTGAACAACCTTGGTTTGCCTGACATAGTAAATGAAATAATAAAATGAGACTGGCAGAGTTACCTTTGCTTTGGCGATGGAATAGATGAGCATGTGAGTCTGACAGGATAGCACTATATGAAGAGCTAAAATTTAGAGTATAAAATGTCCAAGATCTGCTTCCCCCACCCCTCCTTCTGAACTGTGCCTGCATTACACTATCGTTGTCTTTGTAGCTGATGTAATGGTATTGTACAGTTTTACCAATTTGTTTCCCATGGCAATGTCTCATTTCAAGATGTTTGGATAAGAGTGGCTTCCTATGAAACCTAGGGAGCCAAAGAATTAAGAAAGAATTTAAAACTCTGATAAACTTCTTTCTTTCCCATTCAGCTGCTTGTGTTTTGAACTGGGATACAGGAAGGAATGAACCATACGAATTAGTTTGTTGCATAGACATCAAAGACCTGATATAATAAGGATAAATGTTTCCCTATGATTACCTATGAAACTCATAACTAGAAAGAAAATTATTAGAAAAAGTTTTGCTCGGGAGTGTTGAATTAAAGAAAAAGGCATTGACCTTTGTACATTTCTCCCAGAGCTTATTGTTTAGTACTCCTTTTGTTAAAACTTCTGCATGTTTTTGCATATTCAAGAATTATCATCAGTGTTTTTCATCACATTCCTGCCTCATTTCTTTCTTACTATTTAATGTGGTTTTTTTTATTTTTATTTTAAATATCTTTTACAAGGGAAAGTCTTTATTAGGCACAAATTTTACTCTCCTCTTATGCTTCTGTCATTCTGAAGGTTTTTACAGTGGGAGATATTCCACAGTTCAACGAGTTGCAATTCTTAGCTGTACTCTGGTTTCTGCTTGTCTTAATAATAGCATTTTTCTTTCCCCTTGGTTATTTACAGTAGTAAAATGAGACTGAGTTGCAACCATGAAGTCTTTCCTTTTGCAACAACGTGTGAGGAGACTGCAACCTCTCCCTGCAGTGGGCAGTAAGGGAATAGGTACACCTGATACCACTGTATGGCCATCAACCTGGATGGTATGTCCTGATTTACACCTGCAGCAAGTCTGTGAGGCTGTAAACCAAGAATTTCAGAGCTGGTACTTCTGCAGAGCTGGGCTAGCAAATTTTGCCAGCTTCTTAGTACATTCTTACTTGGAAAATCTTAGTACCAGAGCAGAGGTCTTTGTGTTTGTGTAAGAGAAGGCCTCCTCCATAGCTGATATGGTTTGAAGCTGGCTCCCTGCCAAGTCTCCAAACCTTACCACAAGAAGTCCCCACCCCAAACCTCAGGGAGAAGGGGAAAAAACCCAAGAGAACCAAAACGAGAGAGAGACAGCTAAAGCAATATATATATATATATATTTACACTTACATTACAGTTATATACAATTGAAATATATATACAATTTCAAAAGGGAAAGGGAAGGGGGAAGGGAAAAAGGAACACAAACAAAATAAAATATAAAAGATCAATAACCCAAGATCTAGCAATTAAAAGAATTAGTAAAAGAATATCTTACTACTCTCCTTGGGACAACAGAAAGTCGCTCTGGAACGACTGCTGGCAACCTCCATCTCCAAGGTCGGCAAGGCTTTACCAGACTTCACTCCCCAACACGGCAGACTCAACAGCAGGGAAACCCGCACCTCAAAGCCGCCGGAAGGCAATAGGGCCAAAGGCCTTTCCTCCTTTTTTCTTATACCCCGGCTTACATAAAAATCGTAGGGAATACCGGGTAAATCTGGGCACTTCCTTGGTTACAAACTAGTCACCAAGGAAGGCCCAGACTAAACTACCACAATACTGAAGGCATAGTGATATGTATGCATTGAAGAAAATATGCCCCCTTACACTGGATGAGCCTAATAACCCCTTATTCTCCTTAGCTTGGGTTGGGGTCCAGCACCTCCAGGAAAGAATGTAGAATAGGCTTCTAGAAGTGCATTACTGTGGCAATGGACAGTGTGTGAGCAGCAACAGTTTCAACAAA